GGAATCCAGTTCTATTCTTATAACTAGAGAAAATGAAACGTGTACACGTATTTCTCTGATCACTCAGTATTTAATTATATTCTATATTAGATTGTAGCCTGTCAAAAATGACGGGACAAGAACTACTACCCCCCACCCCACTGGTATGCCCTAACCTCACATTTCACAGTTAACTGAAATACCCCCCCCCCCCACGTGGCACAGCGGTATGTCTGCGGACTTATAACGCTACAAACCGGGTTTCGATACCCGTGGTGGGCAGAGCACAGATAGCCCATTGTGTTGCTTTGTGCTTAACTTCAAATAAACAAAAACTGAAATAAATAAATTTTACGAAATCAAGCTTGACCAACAAAGAGGCAGAAAAGTGCAGTCGAGACAGTCAAACGTCAGTAAATTCCTTTGTGAGCCAATCAACATTAAGACCATTCATGAAATGAATTCGTGACGTATTCATAGAATAATTATCGGTAAAAATCAGTTAGATTAACAACTCCTAATATATAGAAAAGCCAGTGCGTTTTGGTAACACTACGTTCCAACAATGGCTTTTATGTCATGTTGCTTAGCAACAAGAGTATAACCTAATGTTGTTGTTAGTCTATGTACTGAAAGTATGAAATGTATAGACAAAAAAACTGGAAAAATATTTGTTGATTTCTTAATTTAGAGTCTCCGTTGATTAAAGAGGTTTGTTTTTTTTATTAAAAATGTTAGTGATATAACAAAAAATTGCTTAATTCAGAAACGATTTAAGTTTAAAATTGAATCGATATTTTCACTTTCTAGGCTAGGAATCCAAACACTCACTACACTTATAAGGTTTCACAGCACCCCTCACACTCCCATCACTAAAATCGTAATGGGCAGACAGTAATCGAACTATTCTATCTGGATAAATGCATTTTGGCTTTTATAATTCCTATTTCGAGAAATCAAGCGTGACGTGACACACGCCGGCTTTTATATTGGTAAGATTACACTAGCAGAGTACCCGGATGAAAATGGTTTTAAATATCCTGAGTTGTTTTGGTTAAATCAACCATATTGATCGGGATTTTCTTTGGGAAAAAATCAAAATAATTTCTTTACCTTACTAAATATTTTGATTAAAATCAATAAAAATAACAATGTGTGAAAAAATAAAAATTGGTGAAAACTATTTTAATCAAAACCGGATACATTACTCCTGCTTCTTGTATGTGCTTTGTGTGACATTTCAAGTTTCCAAAACAAAATTCCCTACATTTTGGTGTCCTGATTTCTTCTGTGTCGTTTGTAGTATATCCTGACTTTATTATCATTGTATTTAATGAAGAATTGATTTATTCTTTTCTCATTGCAACACAACGTAAATGAAAGTTTGCCGATACCAAACGTTTTTGTAAAGTCATCGCATAGCTGATTTATGCGAGTACACGAAAGTAAAGCAAACAATATGGCTGAAGTAAACCTATTTAGTTGAGGGAGTGTGAGAGAAAGCACCAGCTTTTTTCAGTTAAGGAGAGTAGGCATGTTTGTGTAGAAGAAAAAGAGACAGAGAAAGCAAAGAGAAGCAAATGAAGGTTCCACGAAGTTTTTTAATCGTTTAAACATATAATTGATCCTGGATAGAATGATTAGGAGAAGTCCTCACAAAGATAAGAAACGTAAATAATAACCCCCTTGATCACACATTACCAATAAAAATCTGGCCTTTTCAAGTTGAGGCCAATTGGTCGTCCTACTTGCCAAAACTTGCTTTATTGGTCACTTGGCCTCAATACGTTTTCTAAGGCCGCGGCCACATAGCCCATGTCACTTCCCGCAGAAAGTTTTATCTCCACCCCGAGTTTGTAGCTTTAAAGATGTGGCGGTGCATAAGGGAACAGACCCACAGAGAGAGAGAGAGATTTGCACTTATTTATATAGATCTAACGACGCGGCCCAGTTGGTTAGCGTGACGTGCTGTGGAGTTTGGAGTCCGCGGCTCACGTCCTGTTACTGCGTGCGTTATAAAAATGACGGTCAAATCTCATTATTCAATCTGATAAGAGTGGCCGAAGAGTTGATAATCACTATACTATATTTGGGAAGTCTAACACAGATAGCCCTCGTGTAGCAGTTGTTGTTGTTGTCTTAGTGAAAAGCTATTCTACCGAGGGGCATTGGATCTCCGATTTTAGCGCTACCCACCGAGGGACCATCGTGTAACTTTGAATGAATCAAAGAAACAAATTGTGTGTATTGATGTCATAATATTTTCAACATATAACGATACAAATAAACATATATTTTTTTACCACTAGAGGGAGACATATCTGTTGCTCTTCTTAACCAAAAAGGAAAAAGACGACGTCGTCGCAGTGATGAAGACGTAGACATTACTTCATTCTTTCAAGTGAAAAGTACTTTTTCTCTGAACGTAAGTTCTCCAGATAATTATTGGAACAAATATTAACATGTTTTTTTAATTCCTAAACATGATTTACATTCATTACAGTTTCTGATTGTTCTCTCGTCATTCACCTTTTCACCAGGAGCCAACTACTTACAGTTGACTCCTAGAAACAGAACTTTCAGAGGAAGAGACTTTATATATATATATATAACAGTCTACTGATTTGATAGTATGCAGGAGATGTTTTTATCTTTTGGGTTCTGTTTCCAGATGGTACAACAAAGAAGAAAGCGTGAGGTTTATGACGATTTGGATGAACTTGAAGATAAGTTAAAAGTCATCCCGTCTTCAGTAATAGCTTCACAGAGTCACGGTGAGTAGACAGTCTTCATTATATGATATATTGTTACCACCCTCTTAACATATTGTTGTGAGTTTGACATAGACAGTTTCCTGACAAAGGTTTTCTCAGTCTTTCATCGAGAATCATTACTAATGTTACACAGAAGTCGTCTTCAGGTTAACTTTGAACTCTCGTGTATTTTTTATCTTATAAAAAGTTATTTGGACACTGACTCGTGCACGATAGTTGGACACTCATACCCACGTATTGTCTTCAGAAGTCCTTTAGGGAGAAACAAAAGACCGATGTTGTCGGTGCTTTAAGTTGATTTCAGTGTTACAACATAGAATTATGAAATATATATCTTCTGTCTTGTACAACAGAATTATAATGACCAGTCATTAATATGCACGAATCATCATTGAAGTTACTAATTAGAATATAAGCAGTAATCTTTTACCAATGTTTTTATTTACACTTTCTTATTACGTTATAATATGTGACAACTCACTTTAGCTTAAATAAAAGTCCAGAGATACAGCTTTTGAGTGGATTGTTATTTTTTGTTTAATTTTATTACAACGTTTCAACCACTCATGTAGCCATCAACAGATTGTGTGATGACAATTGTTTCAAAACTTGTATAATGGACTTCCTCTCCTCACAACAAGTTGCCCTAACTTAAGAATTTAAGTTTCAGCTTTTGTATTTGTCATCGAGTTGTACATTCATCAACCCTTCAGTCAACAGTTACACAGTATCCAACATCACAGTCAACAGTTACACGGTATCCAACCCTACAGTCAACAGTTACACAGTATCCAACTTCACAGTCAACAGTTACACGGTATCCAACCTCACAGTCAACAGTTATACGGTATCTAACCCTACAGTCAACAGTTACACGGTATCCAACCCTACAGTCAACAGTTACATGGTATCTAACCTCACAGTCAACAGTTACACGGTATCTAACCCTACAGTCAACAGTTACACGGTATCTAACCTCACAGTCAACAGTTACACGGTATCCAACCCTACAGTCAACAGTTACACGGTATCCAACCCTACAGTCAACAATTACACGGTATCTAACCCTACAGTCAACAATTACACGGTATCTAACCTCACAGTCAACAGTTACACGGTGTCCAACCTCACAGTCAACAGTTACACGGTATCTAACCCTACAGTCAACAGTTACACGGTATCCAACCTCACAGTTAACAGTTACACGGTATCTATGTGTATCTTTGAAGTATTTGGTAGTCATTCACAGAATCATAGTGATTAATCGGGTATAAAATTTTCAATTACTTTTTTGTACTAACTATGTGAGTGTAACTATGGTGATTAAAAATAGCCACCGTATATATATATATATATATAATTGTTTTGTAAATGTTTACTTAACAGTTGATTAAATAACTTTTTTTCATGGAATTGTTATATTTGATCTAGCACTAATAAAACGTTAACACTAGTGTTTTCTCTCTCTCTAAAATTAACAGCACATTAACACCAGTTTATCTTCTAAAAATAATAAAAACCTTAACACCTGTTTTAACAGTTTCTGGTTTGAAAGAAAGACTGAATATGTTGAGATCCCAGTATGGCAATCCAAAAGCAGTAGTATCCAAACTTCTAGAGAATACCAAGAAAAATGATCCAGAGACAAGTAAGTACTAAACGAAATAACGTTTTTTTTTTAAAGTATATTAACCTTTCAAATTTTAACTTACATCTCTAGTTAAAGCATTATAATTATGGCCACATTAAACAGACATTTAACCACCTTAACCTTAACCTTAAAAAGATGCAATGCAGAGATTTTGTTTTCACCATTCCTGTAAATACAGAAGTTGAGTGAGTAATATTAAAACGATATTGGAGCCTCACCACGTCGTTACAGCCCAGGTCGCCACGTCCAGTCGTGTTATATCTGACAGCCATTTATTTTGACAATAATTTTGCAAAGTTGTAGTTTCCATTGCAAAAAACTCCGTCATAAGGTTGTCATGTCAATAGCACACCACTACTTTGTGCTTGCTTTCCATAAGTCATCTATTGTACAAGAGCGATGATTTCCCAGCATCCATTTCGACAGTCTGATCACATGAAATTCAACATACAGTGCGACTTGACTGGAATGTTTTCTTATCGAATAGCATGAATACCAGTTTTATTCTCCAGCTGTTTGAGGTATGAGATGATTTAACAGATATATCATGGAAACAACTTTTTATAAATGTAATTTGTGTCTCTTTTCCAGACAGAAATCCTTTTGTGGACTTCTTTATTATGCCGTGCACTATTGCCTGGAGCATATGGACTTTAACCACTGACCTTTGTGTTTGTGTATTATAATCTTTTTTACAAAACGCCGTATTTTACCTACCATATCTAGGATACAACTCGTTGCAGGGCTCTTTATGGATGGTCCCGGTTTCCCAAGTTGATCCATATTCTTTTGTTTTCCAATGCTATTAATTACAAAGGATATGCCAGTATAGGAAATCTAAATCCCCGAGCCGAGTGTGTGAATATTTTGAGATGGAAAGAACTGCATACCTTTCTCAAAAAAAAACGATGAGTTTTCGGTGATATCACTATCAGCTAAACGATAAACAATGTAGTTCTGATACACTCCGTTCCACCGTGATTTCATATTAGCTGTGGTTATCACGTGACTTACTGATTTTTGCATATTAAAAAATCGTTTTAATATAACGTAACCAACGCCCTCTACATATCGTAATATCAAAACTTTTTTTCTTTTCAGTGTTTGGGGTTCTGGAGATACTTGACTTGGAGAAGGAACTCAAACTACGAGACTCAAGCGGTTCTTTCACATCGCTCCTAAATACTGCGTTGACGTCAAAGGTGCGCTATGCGTGCTGCGAAAATCAACAAAGAACGTTTTTATCATTCACTTGTATTATTCTTTTAACTTTAAACAATATTTGAAATTACTGCGTATTTTACCTAGCTAATAATTTACATCTGATTTGGGTTTCAGTACAAAATAAGCTGCATAGGAGTATGAAACTGAAATATTAATTGCAGCATATGATGGAACCGTCTTTTAATAGCTGGAGACGGCTTAAATGGGTAATGAAGAAAAACTTTAATATAAGTTTAACATGACAGCAAATGTACAACGTTTCGACAAGGTTTTGTCATCATCAGGTACAAGTCTTTTAGTCCATTAATTTCATCATCTGATTAATCTCATATCTTGATTGATGTGCTTCTGATGATAAATAAAGTTCATCTAATATTTTACTCACCACTGAAATTAACTCCATATTCGACATAAATTCTGGATAAACTTAGGCCTTTTTCATCGTTCATCTGGAATCCATCTACTGTTTGATACAGATTCTCAGGTCACGTTAGGCTTTCGTTTTTTTATCGCTATATTAATAATACAATAACGAAACCACTTTTCTAATTTGTGTATTATTATTAAGGACATAAGGGAACAATTTTTCACTGGTATATTGTTATCAGGAATACTAGGAATATTGTTTTTTTATTTCTATATTGTTTTAACTTTTTTTAATAGAAAGTTTTAACTACATGCAGCAAGACTGATTCTAGCCACTGCCGTGACATTCTGACATTCCTGAGTCACACGGGGACACCAGAAGCTCAGAAGGTAGCCTCGCCATCTGTCGGTTTTTTTTAAATATGTAAAGTTTAAAATAAGTGTGAAGAGTGACAAACACTTTTTCCGGTTTTTCTGTTTGTGATATTAAAGTCTTCTTGTTTCTCCTTTATCGTATTTTAATACTGTTCGTCTATAGATAGGGTTAGTTAGTACTACTTACTACGTTAAAATACCTGTTCTTATTGTTACCCACTAACCACAGCCTTCAATAAACCATTGTTTAGTTTGTTCTTCCATGGTCTAAACTCTAAAGTCTAGTAACTAAGCAACGACGTAAACAATAAATTACATCTATAGTAGCCAACAATATATTTCTGGTGAGCTGAGACTGCTAGAAATATACATTATAATGGGAAAAATATATTTTTAATGTACAGTTTATACTACGAACTAATTAAAAAACACATTAGGTGTGAAAAAAAGGTGCGGCTTAAAGGAATGGTCAAGTTAGGTATGATGGTGAGTAAAACAAAATACGTAGCCTAGCTAACTATTGAATAAACATTTGCTGTAAAATTCTTATCAATGATATAATTTTAGCTACCAGTTTGGCCGCCAATTTTGATTTCATTCCTTTAAGTCGCACACTCAATCCTTTTTGGCCGCACCTTTTTTTCATGACATTTTGTCAATACACACCAACAAACCACAGCAAGTAAGAAAGTGACATTTGATAGTAACCAACATTAGCTTTAAGATCGCAACCCTATTGTTCGGAACAGATTTATACTTTACAGAACCAACCAGATTCTTTAAAATATATGGTGGTAGATTTTTCTCTCTAAAACATTGTTAATACCTTCCTTTATAGTAACGCCGTGGAATCTAGATTAACAGTTTCTTGTCATTATCTGCATGCAATCGGCACAGTCGTATCAAGTATCATTATTTACGCTAATTGGTAAACACTCTTTAATTAGGATAATTTCATAAAATTTAGAAAATTTGTGCTTAAAAGTTGGCAATGAAGAATGAATAATAACCGTTAACCCGTATAATTCTTTTGAAAACTTGAGTTACAAACTACTAATCTAGTTTGCTTGGCCTAACCAATACTTATGTGGTTGCACGTGCTTTCACCTTATAGTTCTGCTGCTTAAAATCAGCCGTCTTTAATCCAAATGACAAAAAAAAAAACAACAACAACTAAAAACGGTCCACTTTTACTCTTAGGTGAAGCTGTAGTAAAAATGTTAGACCGATAACTCATGTGACTTTTTGTGTAGACGTGCGCAAACATTTTCGTCAAATTTGAGCGGTTTTTGTTAAATAACTTTACACACATGTGGCTTATGTTTACACCAAATGAGACTCCTAATTGTAGATTGTAAAGATCTATCAGTGTACCAAAGTTGAAAAAAATTCATGAAAGTTAAATACGTTTTTTCTATTAAATAAAATTTCTGTACTTTTGGTGGGAAAAAAAGAAAAGAAAAAAGGAACTCAATCAAAATTGGAGATGTTATATCTCGTGTATTTCTTAATGGATTGTCTTGAAATTAGGTATTTGAAATAAGAGTCCTGTAGAGCACATATACTAAAAATATGTGTTAGTTTGGATAACCACAGTCCGAGCTACAGAACGTTGAAAATCGCTAACCTATCACTCCTGTTTATAACACACAGCGCACCCTGTAGGTTGTTTTGGCCGCACGAACTACAACCGTGTGTTTTGATGTGAATATAAAAGTAACCCACATCTACTTCTAGAGACGTTAAATTGAAATTCGAAGTCATTAAATAAGAAATTATTTAAAGTTTAGAATATAATCAAACAAGTTGTCGAGAATTTTACACACTGGTGAGATATTATGTTTATGTGTTTCAGTCACTTCTTCAATACGTCTTTTGTGTTTGTTTGTTCCAGTCACTTCTTTTTTACATCTTTTGTGTTTGTTTGTTCTAGTCACTTCTTCATTACGTCTTTTGTGTTTGTTTGTTCTAGTCACTTCTTTATTAAATCTTTTGTGTTTGTTTGTTCTAGTCACTTCTTCATTACGTCTTTTGTGTTTGTTTGTTCTAGTCACTTCTTTATTACGTCTTTTGTTTGTTTGTTCTAGTCACTTCTTCATTACATCTTTTGTGTTTGTTTGTTCCAGTCACTTCTTTATTACATCGTTTGTGTTTGTTTGTTCTAGTCACTTCTTCATTAAATATTTTGTGTTTGTTTGTTCCAGTCACTTCTTCATTAAATATTTTTTGTTTGTTTGTTCCAGTCACTTCTTCATTACATCTTTTGTGTTTGTTTGTTCTAGTCACTTCTTCATTAAATCTTTTGTGTTTGTTTGTTCTAGTCACTTCTTCATTACATCTTTTGTGTTTGTTTGTTCCAGTCACTTCTTCATTAGATATTTTGTGTTTGTTTGTTCTAGTCACTTCTTCATTACATCTTTTGTTTGTTTGTTCTAGTCACTTCTTTATTACATCTTTTGTGTTTGTTTGTTCTAGTCACTTCTTCATTACATCTTTTGTGTTTGTTTGTTCTAGT